ACGGAAAAGGAGACCGGGGTTAATGTTGGCGCAGCATTTCGGTGTAAAACAAAAACGATTAGGGGTTTTTCCATGGTAGGGACACATGCATTATTAGTACCAGTACTGCCAGGGTCTGCATGATTTATGGCCCCGCCCCACGTGTTCCTGGATTGCACGTCTACTTCCTTCGGTAGGAAGAAGTAGTATTCTTCTCTCGACCTAAGGAAATAGAAGACAAAACCTGAGAGCACGTCTCTTTACTGAAACTCCAATTGGATAGAGCCCACTCAGTTTCGTACGTGGTTTTCAAAAGGAGTAAGGGCATATTTCTTCACGAGACTCCATGATTATATCTGGAAGATGGGGATGAAAAATAAGGAACTGTCGAAGTTTATTGATTGCTAAAATGAGGCAAGGCGAGACATTTGGGGACGTACAGAACTCTCTTGTAAGAGATGATTCCTTGGGTAAGGGGAGGGCACTTTTGTGCCCTTTGATAGGCGAGACATTTGGGGACGTACAGAACTCTCTTGTAAGAGATGATTCCTTGGGTAAGAGGAGGGCACTTTTGTGCCCTTTGAGAAATGTGAGAACCCAATGCTTCCATCTAGTGGCCTAGAGGAGAACTTCAAACGGAACCCTATAGGTCCTATAGGGTTCCGTAAAGGCACTATAGGGAACCCTATAGGTTTAATAGGGAACCCGACGGGTCCTTTACAGAACCCTTTGGGTCCTATAGGGAACCTATAGGCCATATGGGGATCCCTATTGGTTCTATAGGGAACCCTATCGGTACTATAGGGGGATCTATAGGTTCAATAGGGGACTCTATAGGTCCCAAACTGAACTCTATGGGGCATATAGGATCCTATTGGATTCCTTTATGTTCCTATAGGATTCCTACATATTCCTAAAGGAATATATAGGAATCCTATAAGACATTTTCGTAAGGGTGCCCAGGACAGAGACAGATGGAGGAGATTGGTGTCTGCTGCAGCGACCCCACATGAAAGTGGGAACAGCTAGTAGAAGAAGGAGGATGCAGGAAAGAAGAGAAGCTTCAGTGATGTTGGAAGCATTGCGATAAGAATAGAACGTGTTACACCCCCGATTTCATGGGAAAATCTAGGTGCAGTAGAGGAATTATTACATTCATCTAAGTGGCGAAACAAATCAAAATTTTAAGGAGGGTATATTTTTTATATATTATTCCTTCCTACGCGATATAGACATCGTTTTCTCTTTTAATTTAATTTGATTCATAGATTGCTTTTTATTGTTTAAAGAATGATATTTTAACAGCAATTGCTACTCACCAATGAGATCAATGGAGACGAGTCAACTATTGCAAAGGAATCCTTTATCTCAACACGTCAAGAGAGGTGACGAAGGCAATTTACAGAAATAAACCTCCACATGGTGATGAATATACTCATAGCTTTTCCTTTTCTAGTTTCAGTAGCAGAAGACAAAACGAATATATGTTAAGTGAATTGTGGAGTTAATATTTTTCCAGCAAGACAAGAACTGGCTTTCCAAGGTCCACCTACAACGAAAAAAAGGTGAAAGTAAAAGGGAACTTAAGTATTGGTATACAATTTTAAAACTAAAAATTAGCATAAAGGATGATTCTTCTTGGAAGAATCATGGAAGAATCAAATTTTAAACACGGCGCAAATCTCTGCTCTTGTTAAATTGATGAGTCTTCTATATTCTAGACACCTATGTAAGAGCACCAGACATAGCCTTTCAGAATGAATAATCAACGAGATATGTGGCTTTCACAGATAAAAAGGTAAAACGGGTATTGCATATAAAACCGAAGTAATAAAAATAGACGGTAAAACAGGAAACGCAGTGACCTTCCGTTTTGGCAGTTTGGAAGATGAAACAACAAAGTATAACAATAATAATATCGCATCGGAGATTATCATTTCCATTGAGATGGTCGTGATCCAACTGATATCATTCTATGTCGTTTAATGTCAATTTTCCAGGTGAAGTAGTTCTCTTTCGTATCTGAATTTTGCCATTACAAATTTTAATTGTGACTTCATGGTTCACGTTCTTCAATCCATTCTGTCCGTGCTACGAGGTATACTATAGCATTCTTCATCGCAAATTAAGGCTATCCTTGCCCGCAGTTGGCTTGGATGTGAAATCTCGATGATTCCACCGAAGGGCTTAATGTCGCAGCATACGTAAGTTCATGAAATGGTTGTAAAAAGTCGATGTAATATACAACTTGTGAAGAAAAAACATGTAGCAAATCGGCCTAGCTTATAATCGTTGAATTACGCGAGGAAAAAATCATTAGAGTGTATAGTAGGGATAGAGAGGAACCTGAAGGCCCATTCCTTTCGATGGATGTTCCAAGAAATTGAAAAGGCAACTCTCAAATAGTACATGGTGTTTGAGATTTGTTCATTAATTCATTTTCAGTAACTAAGTTGAAAAAGCACTATAGTGAATTGTACCTTCAATCATATTTCTATCAATTAATCAAAGCTCTCCTGAGATACAGTCCTACCAGTCTATACTATTTTAAACAAATTCTTTCCTTATTTTGTGGCCTGAAAATTTGGAGGGACCTCATAGTTTCAAGGAATAACGGACAAAATTTATAGTGAAGTGAATCCCTTCTAAGGTTGAGGAAGTCATCAAACTTTGAGCTCCAAGTACCAGAATGGAACGAATATCAGATTGAGAATGCGGGAGAGTTTCTCACTGGCGGTAAGGATGGCTCGAGAATTTTGGGAGCGGTACTTCCCGTAGAAGATAAGAATAGGGAAGACCTCGGGGGGCATTTCAAGCATCTCCTTTACCGTTTCATCCCCAATAATTGATTTCAGATCAGACAGTAACCTAGAAAGCAACCAAAATTCAAGTTAATATTCTCATGAATCTTAAATGAACACACGGAAACGGTTTATTTTAAAATAAATTGTTTTTGTCTTTTCAACTCCACGAAAGTTGTACGATATCAGGTTGCCCAACAGTAGAATCGACATTAACATGTTGTAAACAAAGGGGTGATCCTCAAGTATCATGGTGATTTATTCGAACACGCTTATTCGTAGCAGTGCATTTTTTCACCCAAAAGGAGCCCTATAAGAGGAGCGTCAAGACTTACAACTCCCTTGCTGGGTCTTGAGAAGGTAGATGGCCTTTCCAAGCAATGAATTTATACGGTAGGACGACCCTTTCAATCACGTCCTCGATCCCACCAATATCTCCAATATTATCATTTGCTCTCTTTATCAGCAACATTATTGCTTGCTTCTGCAACACGTCAAAGACAGAAACACCGTAGGAGCACATGATGAATTGCTCTTACCTTTTGGAGGCGCTCAAGGCAACATTTTTATCCTTCCCAAGATTCGCAGTGGCGTATAGTACCTGTATCATGAATGTTAAGATGGATCAAGAATATAGAACTCATCCATCGTTAAATGACGTTTTAAATTACTTGGAATATTCTGAATCCGCCAGGGCACCTAAATTATAAACATGTCCATTTACATTGGAGTTCTCGTGGAAGCAATTGCAAACTTCATTCTGAAAGTTTTATCACAATAGGGAGACATGATCCCACCAAATGCATTTCTTTGTCAGGGTTTTCACTCTACATATTGTGCTGCTTGTTTTTCAATTATGATTATTGGATGCAATCCCGCATGAAACGGTCGCTGAGTTCGTGCGTCTTTGGTATTTCTTGTAAGGGCTTTGAATGAGATTGAAACAATACATAATGTATAAATGTTATAGCAAAGGATATATATACTTTATTTTTCGTCCGAGAAGCCGCTGGATCTTTTTTCCAGAATGAAATATATTCTTGATGGAAGAACATGAAATTAATGTGGCAATACCTATAGGCCTACATGACATCCACGGAATACTATGAATGGAATTGGTCACCCAACAGCCTATCATTTATGCTTTCTAATGAGTTCTCAGAAAGTTGATGTGAAGAGGAGAAATATACCTGTTCAATATTTGGACTCGCGTCTTTCGGGAAAGCTTGGCGAGAGGTTTCCATTTCATTCAAGGATCCCAGGAACCAAAATGATGATGAAGGCATGTCTGGAACGTTCAATGAAGGAGAACCGTGCAAAGAGGCAATTCCAAAAGGTGAAAGGAAAATCAATCGAACAAATTCAAATGCTGAGTCATTCGTCCGAGATAGTTCATATGCTGACGTGTAATCCTACAATGCTCTGTCTAATAGAGCTAAAGTATAATGAAATCAGCAAATGCTGAATTGACTTGCATATCTGATGGATACCCAATATCGATTAAATTTCTCAGATTTTGGGGTAAATCCGTTCATCCTGTCCCCAAATGAAAGATCAGAAGGTCCCAACCAACGATAACAAAACTCATCGAATGATGCTACACAAGACCAGTGCTATAATGTCTTTTGAATAATAATATTTTGATTTAAGATAATGAACTTTTTGAAAAAGATTTAGGATATTTTCAAAGATAGTATCGCAGGAGCAGTAAGTAAGATAGATCTTAAAACCGCCCAGAGACGGCGCGGAAACATCTCGGTGTATATGCCCAATACATGTAAATTGCTACAGGTAAGTTATTGTATAGATGGATTTATGGTACCAGTCGGACCATCATTAAATAGAACGAAAGAAATACGGAACTACCTTAAGTTGATTAAAAGAATAAGCGACTAAAGATGATCAGATGGGGAGAAATGAGGGACACCGGTGAGTTAGGCACCGGGAAGAGGAGTGACCTCGCTGGCCCCTAGCAAGCAAAACAACAACGACCGGATCAACGACTCACAACGATCCCGGCAGTCCCCAACGACCAAAAGGAAGCGACTGACGCCAAACGACCGAGAGAAACGGCACGGAAAATCTCTCTATCGACCTAATCGCAGTCTTACTAGATTCTAAGAACCCATGCCACAACCCCAATCCCCTGACGACCGCACTCCCTAGCTCTGACCCCGTGAGTAGCCCCAGCTGCGCCCCACGGACCGTCCACTGACCTCAAGCACGGCGAGCGGCCGTATCGACTATCCCGATCCCGTCCTTTGCGACCATCGGCTGAGAGCCCTTACCCGCCTCCCAAATCTCGAGCTGACCAGCGGACTTAGTCCCCAGCAAACTCAGAGCCTTAGGAAGCGTCATCCCTTTTCCCTTCCCCCCCCTCATAGGATCAATGACCTCCGAGACCCTGAGGGAGACAACGACGAACGACCTCCCCCATAGAAAGCAACACCGACATCTGTCGGAGACCTCCTCCTCAAGCTCCGACAGCGGCCCTGAACTTGTCGGCGAATAAGACCGAAACCCATCGACTGACTTCTCTTTATATGTGTGCGACGTCTAAAGGGAGAGAAATAAAATATGTGTTTTGTACTGTTGACGTACATGTACTTTTCTAAGCCCCTCCAACCGGACCCACGGTGTCTCAAGTGCCGTATACGAAACACGAATAAAAGAGGACACGGGAAAGCTCGGTCTCCCGTAACAATATTCCCTTTAAGTCTGATCGAATTCAAACCTCGAAGTTAGCTGCAAGTCGAATAAGTTCTTCTAGTCCCGAATATCCTCTCGAAAAGAAGCAACTCTCGCATCTGAGGCACTGCTCATAAAATCACTAAATGAAAAGTAGTGTCAGAGGACAGATTGAAGCACGATTCATTACCGTCGGGAATCAGTGTATCATCTTCTTTTGGGGGTTCGGGAAGGACCTGTTCCTTTCGAACAGGAGAATCGCCACGAACTGGAAGATCTGATGGAAGCATGAGTCATAAATGAAAAATAATCATTTCTTTTCCGGTTATCACAAATTTCATGCTTACATTTTTTTTCCTAATCAATAAGACGACGTTGGTGCCATACTAAAGCAATTTTATTACCCCTTTCACATGATATGTGAAGAGACGCGCACAGATAGGAACATTCGTGTTTCCCTAAGTGGGGAATTTCTTGGACATGAACCTACAACAGCAGTCAGAAAATATTTTCACAGAAATAAACAATGTTGTCTGTGAAAGATATGTACCACACATTCGCGAGTTTATTTCGAGATTCTTATAAGTGTTTAACTCGAACTGGAAATATATTGAATAATTAGACGGAAAAAAATTGTCAAACCCCCACGTGGAGAATTTCACCGTGACTGTTATGAACTGTCCCTCATGAAGGGACAGGCGAGAAATCAACGCGGTCATCTCCCTACAAGGCTTTGATGACAAAAAATATATTATTCGATTGGACTCTAGACGAATTCTTATAAGAGTCATACAGTTACGGCATGGTTGAAGTAGCTAAGAAGGCAGCTACGCATTTCGGGATGCAAAGGATATTCTGTATCATTTTGTGGATTGCTTAATATATTTTTTTTCCTTTTCACTCTTTCGCAAATGAATTTCAATAGCTTCTCTGTTTGCCTATAAGCTCCACAAGCTTCACAAATGCTATAATATTCGTAGGGGTGAGATCAATTATTATACTTTTGTATTGGTTTCATGTAGAATGATCGATTACCGAAAAGGAGGCAGGAAACTCACTCAGGGATTGGAGGGAAGTATCTGTATTATCTTTGTCTAAGGATGGTTTGTCAGGTCTGAGGGGAGGGTTGAATACTGCGTGCTCTGAAAAACCTATTTGGCATAGAAGAACACAGGCGTTGAAGGCAGGCTTCCTTCACATATCTATGGGTCGAACCAGATTATATGAAGAGGCTCACTTATAGTAGATGGTAGCGCAGAATCACTCTCTTCTTGGACTGAGAAGACCTGTTCTTCACCACGAGGAGGTTCGAGATGGGCTTTTCCCACTAAACAGAATCGTTAAGAGACTCTGCATCAACAAGGAATATTGAAAAGAGGTGACTTTAGAAAAAATTAGAATTTTCGTGAAACGTGGTTTCGAATTTTTTTTGTGTAGTCCTCTCGGTTGAGCGAAATACTTTAATTGGCTCAGTCATTTACCCAGGCTCAAATATATTTTTGAACTTCAAAATGTCTGACTTAGTTTGCCGCACTTTCTGTTTGATGGACCGAAGAAAAGATTCCAACCCAACTACGGATATTTATAAAGACATTCAATGTCATTATGAGGGAGCAACATGTATGCACTGTTGCGAGTAGAGCCAGGGGGTATGAAATATCAATGACTTGCCTGTAAATGATCAAGTGTAAAATGACAATTGTCATCATAAAAAGTTACGAACACAGCGGGAAGAACTCTTAGGGATCCATTAGAAACATTGTATCACCTGCAGAATACGTTCATGTAAATCCATGCTTTAAACACTAAAATGTGACCTTTCATATAAAACTTGATCTGATAAATGATGATGGATTTTATGACCAAAAGAGGCTTAAAAATATGTTATTTCTCTAACTTTAGTGCCAGTATCCAGAAACCCGGCACAAATAACGCAAGCGCCATATTAACTTACTTTGCCAAGATAATTTTCATGCTCCCTGTATTGTCAATAGGCATAAACTTCCAACGGTCAAAAAGTATTTGGAGGAATGATCATGGATGAACGGAGTCCAATCGTTTTTTCTGTTGGGTTAGTTGGATGGGGGAACTAACAAGCTTCATTAAAATCTGAGCTGGTCAACAATCACCGATTTTTAATACACCTTTTTTTAAATGCGAAATGGAAACATTAAATCTAGGAAAAGTTTGGGGATAACTTAACAAAAGCCTCACCTTTACATCTTCGGATACAGAGAGAACGAACTCTTCACAACTGCTCCCGCGCTTGAAGCCAGATATTGGAACGCTAAGAAACGAAAATTCAATTATATACCCCTGTTTTTTTCATTAATGGCCCTACATTTTCTCAAATGTTGTTATCCAACTCATGTCCTTGCTAAATAACATCTGTTCCTGCCTCTACATATGGCAAAAACAGCTGATCCCTCATAACGTATTCCTGTAAGTCTATTTCATGTTCATTATTCATTTCATGATAAATTTTCATCGTCTGTCATAGAAATATACAATTATATGCATCAAAATCCCATCAGTTTTTCTGCAGTTCACTCTGCGAAAGAAATATAATTTTTTCTCACTCCACTCAAAATTCCAATCGGACACAATTAACTTCCACAACTGATTTCAATCACACTTTGACGGACAATCCTGCATTTAATTTTTCTGAGTATCCTCCTGTCAGAACTTGAATAAAGGGGATACTAATACATTAATCACCATAGTGAAGTAAGATAGTTGCTGCTATGAAGCAGGCAATAAGAAGTTGTGATCATAAGGACAACATAACGAACACTTTCCGAATTCGTTCCTCCAAATTCAGCTCCCATTTTTGCATTGTGAACCGAATTGAATCTTTAGGTGCTCAATGGTTTCAAGCTCTGGGGCTGACCAAGTCGTGTCTGGCTCGCAAATCACAGGTTGCCCACTTTTCTCCCATGCCTCAGGCGGAGAAGTACAGTTCCATTGGGATGCTATTGAGTAATACTATATTGACTATTTTCTATCGTATCTTGTAGAAAGATTCAGGTAGTGCCAGGTTCTGAAGAATACAGTATAAAAATTCGTATGGTATCTTTTCTTATCTTTCTCACTGTTAAAATATGCACCAAGGCATTCCACTCATCTACAGCTTGTGCTTGATATACCACATGTACCTTTCGACAGGTGGTCCACTTCGTATTTCCCTTAAGGGTAATTTTTAATTAGTAGTAAGAAAAATGCAATTAGCAATCAAATGTGAAGGGCATCGTTGAGATCCAATAGACTGCCTAGTCCGATCCAAGAGAGAGAAAAAACTGGCATCAAGGAAATAATTAACTTTTTAATTAATCAATTGACGCATTATATTTTTTGTGCAAGGTTTTTGACCACGACAATCAATATGAGACCACTCTCACCATCACACGATTCCTCCTTCATGATTGGGTGATTCGGTAAACTGCGTATTATATATGTGGATATATAGCGTTCAAGGAAAATTTTAGGACTGGGGTCCTACCACTCTCGAGTTCCTTCTTTGGTGCGGTGGAAACAGGTAACCATACAAATTTTTGCTTTAAAAAAAACGATTCTTACAGATGTTCTATAAAAAGGTCCTACATGAAGCTAAAATTCCAATCGAATGTTTCTACAAGAAACGAAGAATTTCCGCTTGCTTGATGCTAACATCTGGTTGGCAATGACGTCACACGACCAGAAGCAACTTCAAGTCAGAATGAAAATGTACTTTGGGCCCAAACAGTGCATCGAAGACTGATGCTTCAAATGCTTTAGTATATTTCTTAGATCGTGGAGCATCGAATGCGTGGCAATAGGAGTTTATTTGCCCAAAGGTCAAAGATACTCACAAGTAAAAAGTATTAACTTCGTGAAGGATGAACGCTGACATAAAATGCAGAAATAAACCTCACCTTGTAGCGATTACAGTGAAGTATGGTGTTGAATAGGTATGTGTATGAGGAGAGTGCGTATGGTTTCAGCGGTCACTGCTTACAATTCGAATGAATCACGGATGAAGAGGGATGGAAAACAACCCCCAACATATATGTGTGGTATCTAATCTAAGCAGTTATCAGTTGTTTCGTATCCTTATCTCCCTGATTCGGGGTACTACCATCTCCTTACCTCCATGCGGGAAGTTTTCATTGCCAAAAGACCCTCCACACCCCCATGGTTGCCGGGTATCGTGCTGAAATCACGTCTGATCGATGATAGCCGACGATGATGATGACTGATAATGATGATTATAGCCTCGATGGTCGATGCCCGGCCGGGACTTCTCTTTTCAGACGCATGATACATTATTGTGTAGCGTTCATGGAGCTGAATCCAATTGGAAGACAGTTCAGTCATGAGATAATTATATGATTAAGTTATGCTGTTTTCCGTGGAAGATGCTGGCATTACAACTGATGAAACGTTATTCCCATTTGTAAACTTATTTCCTTGACAAAATATTGTCTTTGAGCCATTGCAGTACGAATTTTGGCCGTGTGCTAGCGGTTAAACCTTCAAAAAAGAGCATTCTTGCAAGCAAAGAATGTCTTGACATCTAAAAAATGTGCTTCGTAAACAGTCAATAAACTATTAACAATTAAATACAAGTATGGAATGGAAAACGCTTTTAGAAAATATACAACAAAAACGCATGTATCAATACGTTGCCAGGCGAAGAGTATACCCGTCTTTGTATTGCAATGGGTAAACGCGTTCACGAACCTGTCATTAATCCTGGCAGCTATATCACGTCCAATCGCCATTAAGTTCATAATGGATGGCTTCTGGGAAGGAAAGTCACTCATCAGTGAAATGCAATGGGACACAGACCAACTGAGAAAGGCAGCCGTTTTATAGCAACTAGCAAGGGCATATATTGGAAAGTAGGTGCTCTTCAGGATAAAGTATTATGCTATCCCGTAAATCATTCGTGTCACTGTTTCATTTCTATTTGCTTGAAAGAAAAACAAAGTGTTCCCATTTTATGTAGGGTTCTTTTAAATTATAATGGGATTACATATTTGGTTCGTTTTGTTGCATGAGTCTTTCTGCTGGCACTAGTCTGAGTTCCTATCACTTCATGAACTATTTTCTATGAATTTCCTGCGAACGGTTCGCTTTGATTTACATGGGATCCCTATAGTGAGATATTTCTCGTAATTCAAGAGTTCGATCACCGAAAATAAATCGTGAAAGAAGTGAAGGGAAAGCACGTCTATTCCCCTTACGTTGTATTTTATCGCAGGCGATAACATTTTGCCTTTTTTCAGGATACAAAGATGTTAAAAGACATCTAAACCTATGCGCCTCCTACATGGAGAAAACCCCACGAACCATTTCAGAATTATGCAGTTTTTCTCACCTATAATTTATTTTATGTTTGGGAGATTTGGTTTGGATGGTCCCTGAATGCTCGAGATCTAGAGAATTATCTAAAATCCCGGATAAAGCTGGGTACATCATCTACTTTCTGTAATTCCCATCGGACAGTTGAAAAAGTCCCAATTGAAAAAAATCCATATTTCTCGAGGTTTATTTCTGCAGGTGCTGAGTACATCGGCCCATTACAACGTGACATCGAATGACATGATTGAACATCATTATAAGGACATTATTTGTGGATTGCAAGATCGAAATGTTCTCATCATCAAATCACATGAAGTGGAAAACTCTGATTTCGATTTGCCCTCCAAAAATTGAAAAGTGAAAATGCTATGTGAAACCTATGAAAATACCGTTCCGTACGGGTTGAGACGGTAGAAACCATTTATGTTCGTGCTACGAGCTATGCACAGCCTATGTGTGCAACTTTTCATGCGGAATGTATGGCACAAGCATGAGGAAAATGCAGAATCGAGTGTAGATTGAGAAACGGAGACCACTGGACAAAAGGAATCTCGAACGCGTGGAATGACTTGCAACTCTCCTCTACTCCATGATCCACGTTCTCTAACGTGAAATCACTGATACCTGTCATATAAAAGCAATAAATATCTTCACTGGAGTTAATAAACTATCAACTTATCTTGGACAAAAGAGATTCATTCATCCTCTCTTCTCTCTTTCAAGATAGAGAGGGAAATGGAATTCTAACACATTACACTCACTTCATATCCGTCGCCTTCCATATTTTGTCGAAGGGAAATGTCCCCTGATTCACCCATCCTCCTCTTACATCAAGGGTAAACGTCTCCGTCTCAAGAACTTCTTCATATTGTGAACCCCTTTGAAATAATCCACCGATAACAGAGAGCCCCCCTTTGCCGTTTCCCATCATCCCGTGATGACCTCTTGGGTTATTTAAACAGGGGAGTTCTTCCCATTGCCCTCCTTTCACCCTGCACCTCCACACCTCCCTCCTAGACTCCATCCCATCCCATCCACCCGAGATATAAAGTTGATCATGATAGACGGTAGCTGCAAGACCTGAGAGAGGAAGGGGAATGTCTTGAAACGAAGACCACTGTCCTGTTCTCACGTCCAAGTACTCGCAGCTGGAGACTTGTTTCTCTGCTTCGAAATCCTGACCACCCAAGACAAGGATGGTGTGAGGATCCAATATCACTGAAGCTGCATTACTTCTCCTATCTTTCATTGNGTCCTTCTCTAGGATTTGTCTCACTCCCCAAGAGGAAGAGGGAGTTCTGAATGATACATCCGGTGGTGCTTCTGATGAATTGAAGGGGGTTGCGAAGAACCTCGTCCCATCTATAGGGGGCCTCACGGGGATCCTTCTCCTCTAGATGGAGTATGCGCACCTCTCCCCCTGTCCCGTGGATGAGTCTGCCAGAGTGAGCCAGGTATACGTCCCCAATACCACCGGGACTGTTGACCCACAGAGTCTGGGAGGGATGAACTTCCCACATCCCAGCTCTCAGGTCTTGACCTCTTGCCATGGCGAAAATCCTCTGCAAACCTTCAAAAGAAACAAAACATGAGACAGGAAACCCACCAAAGATTCAACTCGTTCAGGTGAGAAAATGAGAGATGTGTATGGGAACCTAATGCTCTGTGTCATCATGATCTTTGTGGATCGAGAATTCACCCTTCCCGAAATGATTCTGTCTAAAGGGTGTAAGTGTAAAGGTGAAGAAGAGGAGAAAGCACCTGCCCTGGAGACTGAATGCTGACAATGCTGAATTGGCAAAAGCACACTCAACTGGACCCATTCAATCCCATCGTTTTTCCTCTGACAGGGGTTTATTTTGAAATGGGGGGAAAATTGCATGAAGTTTCCGTGAACAAAAAAGAGCGTGTAAAACAGGCAAAGTCGAACATTGTACATGTACATTACACCTTGTGGTAGCAACCTGTCTGGTGGACGATCGAATTTGTAATGTTACTAGGTTGATTCCATAGTTGAAAGTTTAGTGAATGTCTCTCATTTTCCTCTACATGTGCATCATGAAATGGACCGACCTAAGAAACTGAAAATGGACCACTATCATATCATTAAATAATATGCAAAAATCATTTTAATTACTTGATTTGAATTTCATAGGTAGATTTGTAATTGATACACATAGTTCCTGAAGTCTCATGAGAAGAAAGAGGCCTATCTAAATGAAAATACTTGGGTTATTGCACGAGTCTGTCAGCTGGTCTACACATAATCGACATCGACAATCGACATGAATAATACTAATGGATCCATGAATGGATTGGAGACCTTTTTCTGCTGGTTGGATTGGGTTTAGTCCTGAGGACATGTGAAAGATGTCCAAGATGCATTATAGGTCAATGTCTATCCACAACGAATTTGATTGGTTCTACAAGGAGACATGGTCTACCCTTGGAGTCTTTACCGGGGGGACTTAGCCCTAAACTGGCCAATTTCCTAAAGATTTCGCCTCATTCGGGACAGAGTAGGCTAGCGCACCGAAACAGAGACAGTTGAGGAGGAGTACATACATGGGTAGATCGCCATCGCGGAAGTTGAAGCTTCCGCCACATGCGCGGAAGCAGTGACAGTAAACACCCCTGCCATCTACGTTTCCACCCAAGTTCCACGTCGAATCGACGTATCTGTGCCACAAGGGATGCAACTAGATAATGCCCTTATAGAGTTGACAATGTTGCTGTTTGTACCGGACATTTTACCTCGCCGATCCGCCCTAAACCTGTTACCTTAGCCTAAAGCTCGATGCCTACGAGGCTATGACTTTTTCTGCCATAGACTATGAAAATGATTCACGAAAGGACTCATAAACTAGAATCTCCGTGATCGGTACGCAACGTGCTGACACGTTCACTGCCATGGACCTTTCGGCCATTCTGCCCTAAGCCTCTGCGACCTTAGCCTAACGCGCGAAGCATACTAAGCCACTTTTTCGGTCATAGGCTAGGCGAAAGGATGCGTGAACAAAGCAAATGAAAAGGTTTGGCTGTGAATGTGTTAATAGCTAGCTGCAGACATTTCAGCAGTGCAAAATATCGTTAGGAGTTAAGTGGATGAGACAATCTTAAGGCAAAGCTACATTTTTCAATGTATTCTACTCTGGGATGAATGAAGAATCATTATATATATAAAATTCTTCGCCATATTTTCATTTTTTGGTCATGTCATGGCTGGAATTCCGCATACACAAAGAAAGTTCTACCTTTTTTATCGTTACTGTCATGAATTCGACATATTAAGCGAAAAGTCACCATATGTCCAAACAATTTGATTCGATCATTTAACATGAAATCCCATTCATATTTTTCCCCTTGTAATAAAAAAATATCACAATTCCGGAACGATTCTGAAAACTGACTAGTATGGTGAATTACCTGCTGACGGACAAACCACTCTCCTCGCATCTTCCTCCTTCTTAGATCTCGAAGGGTCCTGGAAAGAGAAAAACGCATGGAACTATCAGGTCAATTCGTAAATAATTTCCGTTTGTTGCCAACTGTTTTGAAACGATTGTAACTTGTTTCAAGTTTGACGCGGTAAATCGTGTTAAGTCATTCGATCGAGAAAACTGTAGACTTTTTGATAATATGCAATTCATTGTCTTTCCAATTTTATTAATATAATGAAATAGTAAGGGTAAAATAGATGATGAAAAAAAAACGCATATTCGGCAGCGCATTTTGTGGGAGTTCCAGTAAGGCTCAAATGCAATGGAGACAGCGAGGAAGACATGCACCTTCTTTGGAGAGGACACCATCACCGATCACCAGTGCAGGAATTGATTCACAAAGTTTCGGTGAAGAGAATTATCGCTCAAGGATGAACAACGTCCTGGTCGACCTTTGGAGATCTTTGAATCGAAGCCAACCCACGTAAATCCACCTAAGAATTGAACGAAGAACTTGGTACTTCCCAACCGCCTTCTTGCTCTTGGAAAAGTCAGCAAGTTGGAAACATGGGTTTTACGTGGGTTAGCCTCGATTAACACTTCCAATGCATCTCTATCGAACTCCGAAGGGCGACCAGGACGTGGTTCATCCTTGAGCGATAATTCTCTTGACCGAAACTTTGTGAGTCAATTCTGGCACTGGTGATCGGTGATAGTGTCCTCTCCAAAGAAGGTGCATATCTTCCTCGCTGTCTCCGTTGCATTTGAACCTTGCTGGAACTCCCACAAAATGCACTGCCGAATATGCGTTTTTTTTCATCATCCATTTTACCCTTATTATTTCATTATAAAATTGGAAAGACAATGAATTGCACATTATCAAAAAGTCTACAGTTTTCTCAATCGAATGACAACACGATTTATCGCGTCAAACTTGAAACAAGTTACAATCATTTCAAAACAGTTGGCAACAAACGGAAATTATTTATGAATTAACCTGATAAATGACCAAATGTAATGTTTGCATGGGAAGTGACGGTTACAACGAACACGAGAGGAATGCGACATGGACAGTCAATATTAGACATGAACATTGTACTTTTAGGAAGTGGCTTATTTGATCCAATTCTATCCAGTCATTAGAGGAAAGGGAGACGAGTGCATGGAAGGATGATTGAGTACGATGGAGGAGTCCTCTCCGGTCCATCTCCATCCAGAGTCGCATCCGGCTTTGTGCTACGGAGGAAGTTCCCCCGTCGACGATGAAGAGGGTCCGAATGGCTCTGGAGATCCCCTCCACCACCCAGGAGTCCTCAATCCCCACGCACATCACCTGTGAACTCTCACACCCTCGATATTCCTTCGGATGGTAGATACGTGGCACTTCACCCTGATTTACACCACTCGCTATTTTCATCAATCTGAGAGCTTCGGTGAAAGTCACTCGGATCTCTCCATCCGAAATTAGCACCACGACGTCCCCCTTCAAAGCAGAATGATATACACAGTATTTAAATTAGAAGCAAGTTCATTCATTCAGTCATTTATAGTCTTGATATTTTTCAAATGAGCAGATGTAATGCAGAAGTTCTATGAGCATCTTTACACTCTATGGTTTTGTTGCGAAATATCAAAGGTTCGAGTAGAAGAGAAGAAAATGCTAGAGTGTGCTTCCTGTTGGCTGTGGGGGGTGGGGGGTTAGTAAGATTCTGCTATATTTTCAAGGTTTCTTCTAACTAACTACTAGACATGACATCGAGCTTTTTCGTCCAGCGGTAAGGTTTGAAACTCCTTACGCTATAGGTAGCCACCCAGGAGATGGATAAATGTTTACACTCACAAAGCCACAATTCGTGACTACGACAAGCTTCCCATCAGCTGAAACAAGTTATGTGTGGAAGCGTAATTCTAGACAGATTGCCAATGTACCGAATCCTGTTGCCGGCGATTCTCCCATCTTGCAACTCCTTTTCCGTTTGCTTGCCACAAAGGCTCAATATAGTGAACTATTCTCCGATTTTTTTTACTCTTTCGCTCATTCTCCAGCTCTTTCGCCTTTTCAAACTCCAATTTTCATGCGCCAAAAACTGATCCAGACGGATTGCCTGAGTGAAATAAGAATGGGATGAACGTACGAGTTCTTGGGAATGAAAGTAAGCAGCAGCGGTGACAGCGACGCATCCTCGACCACGGCCACCGATGCATTTCCATTTTCCATGGTAATGTCCGTCAGAAGGACTAGTGATGAGTATTGGTTTCTCACCGAACACGAGAGAGGAGGGCTGGGGTCTCGTGTTCAGGGTCCCTGGCTTCACCCTCAGTTCCTTGGGGGATTCATGGGAGAGAACGTGGTGAAGCAAGCGGGGGAAGCCCACATCACGGCAACCCCTTAGGACCACGACCCGTGCCTCTAAAGAACGAAGTAAAAAAAAATGCAGGAAGACTTAGTAGGCTGCCAACATGTATCCGCTTTTGGCATCTCAGCCAAAAGCCCAGCAAAAGCTAGAAGGAAATTTAAAATTGGGAATACTCATGCCTGCTACTCCCTCTGTCTCAAAATAAAACCGGTGTATTGACTTTATTTTTGTCTCAAAAAGGAACCCGTGTTAGCCTCTGTGTTCGATGACATCTTCAGGGCATTTGACATTCTCCGGTAGCTGTCCTCTGCGTTGCAGACTTGCCTTACCTAAATGTGGAATTTTGTAGTGTATGCCGCCATCAATAGACATCACTTGAATCATGCATGTCTGCCATGTCAAGAAGATGTTGTTCATTTTGTCTGGCTCCATCATCCAGAATGCCTGCTCGGTAGCTGCAATTAGACACTCAAATTCTGTTGAGTGAGCTGATGTTGGAGTGATGGTATCACTCGGAACAGCCCCAGATCCAGAACACTCATATCAGGACTGTTTGGTGGCTGGCATGTCATGATGACGTTGAATCCGTCCTTGATAAGCGCTGCAGCCAAGTCGGTTTCTGTGCTAGTAGGATGCGGTTCAGCGTTATCTTGCTGGATGAGAATGGTGTCAGTTGTCTTGCCGGGCCACGAACGAGGCCGCTTCTCGCGGATCGCCGGCAGGACATTGTCAAGCGGCATCTTCTTAACCTCTTCCTTGGTTATTCTCTCGATGCATTTCATCTCCATTGTACCACGCGGCCGGTTCTTGCTGTTGCGTTTCGCCGGCTCCTAACCCTAAAAATTTCCAAGCTGGGTTCAGAATAGTTCAAGCTTAATATCTGACGCCTTCCTAGTGCAATTCCTTGGTACCATTTCTTAATCCCAAACTTTTACTAAAACACCGGTTTTATTTTGAGACAGAGGGAGTAGTACATAACATGCAAATCCGTGACCTCCCATTTTGATTCCGCAGGGAACTTCACTTGTAAGAGAAGGAACTAAACCGAAAATCTAGGAATATAGATCATTCAAAATTTGAGGGCGATCACTATCATTTTTTGGCTTGCGACCAAGGTGATAAAGTATAATCCAATTTGTGTGCGTGAACTTTCGAGCCAATTTGTATCCGAGTATTTGGACACCCATTTGACTGTAAATGAATGACTCAAGCTGCATGAAACCTCAAATACGCAAAGATGGGCACGAATCGTGTACGTATAGGATTCCACGTCAAATCAACACAAAAAAAGAAATTTGACCTGACCCCTACAATTTCCATGAAATGTGCTGGGCTCGTAGGAGCACTAAAAAAAACATTCCATGCCCATTTGCAGCTCCCTACCTCAAGTATTTCCAGAGATATAGCATATTGAAAGTAGCAAAAAGTGAACAATTTTAGGTCAAGTCGTCATCACTTACGTGTGTATAACTTTTGTTCTTATCAACGTAGAAAGCTGATATTGGTGTCATTTTAAAGGTATCTTCATATCTTCATATCTTCTTAAATGCTATGTAGCTCAAGGACAATCTTTGAACGGAAAGGTCAAAGGGTCTGGCATTTGACCTTTCCAGAAGAAAAATATATTTATTTCCTTATAAAAAATTATCATAACATTCTCAATTTCTTCTATATAAGTACTCAAATTTTCAACTTGAGACTCCCATGAAATCAGGAGAGATGAACAATAATGTGCCAACAAGTGACCAAAAATCCGAAGAGAATGTATTGAATGCTACTCGTAGAAATATCAATATACATTCATTTGAAACAAAATTTAATCAGAATAAAGTTGTTTGAAGTATCAGGAATGTTCTAGAAAGTTATTAAAGTTTCGAAGTTTGCATAAAAATAGTAGGTAAAGCTAGTACTAGAAAGCTTTAGAGGTATCCGAAAGATCCAGGATCTCACAAGAAGTTCCTAGAATTTGTGTTATTCGTCCTCATTGTCCATGATTGGGAAACGAGAGAATTGGATGAACCGCAGTGGACGATTTCTTGTTTTTAACCCATTCGGCAAAGCGAAACATTCATCCAAGAAGAATCTGAAGCCATTCTTGCCATGGATGTGTAAGAAACCCCCTTCTATTCGACTTGGAGCCAAGATATGTGATGATTGCAGTAAGAAAATTGCCTGAATATCGGTGTTACCAGGAACTGAGTCGAGTACATCATCATCCATGTCAAGTCAACGAGAGTCTAGTCCAAGGAACCATACTATCGTGGTTGATGAGGCCTCCTGTGACCAAAATAGTACGCAAGAATTAATCAATAAAAGTTTTCATTCAGTTCGAGATTCTCCTATTGTCAAGAGGAAGCTCACACGAGACAAATTCCAGAGAAGTCGAAGACTGAGGATGTTCTGAAGAGGAAGTTACTTAATGTGGAATCAGATGGCAGAATGATGAGCAAAAGCTAAAAGCAAATAAGAATCATTAGGCGATTGAAAGAAAAATTTAAAGCGTCCACTGAGAGTAGTGAGAAGGTACAAGTCCTGACAGTACTCCGACCAAGTTGGATCATTTAGAGAATCTCACACGAGTTCGGCGCATCTGGACTTCTTGAAGAATACATGTTGTTCTCTTTCACAAAAAAATCGCCTACTTCTCTGATGGATCTACTTCGCACTACAAAAACCGGAAAATTTTCCTCAACCAGTGCCATCATGAAACAGACATTGGTTTTCCAGCTGAGTGGCACTTCGCCACCTGCCACGGAAAAGGAGTTGGAAGGATAGTTAAAGATGTTGGCTGCAAGAGCCAATCTCCAACGACCGTACAACCAATAGATGACGCCTCACCAACTGTACCAATGGGCACTTGAGAATATCCCAATCATTTTCTTTAAGTATTGCAGCTTGGAAGACTAAAGGAAATGGCAATTTTCATAGAATAAAGACTTTTGCAATCATGCACGACTCCTAGAACACATAAACTTTCTTCACATTCTTTCCTTCCATTGACGAGGGGAAAATTTGCTACCATAGCGTATTCCTTCTCATGTTTTTCAAAAGAAGAGAAAGTCACCTGTCCTGCGAGATGATCTTGCAACTGGAACTCTTCTTTCATGAAAAATGGGGTGTTCTTCAACTAGGTCCAGTTTTAGTTCAACTTACTCTTTTAAAAAAGGAGTTTTGTCATTTAATTATCACTCGGTATTTTTGCTTTCAGACAATTATATGGGGATTTTCATGTACCTGCTATCACTGTATTGCTTATAACTACTGATCCTATGGGAGTTCCAATTTAAAATTTTGAGCACTATTCCAGAACCAATTGAGAATGTTATGTTACTTTTTCAAAGGAAATAAAAATTCATTACTTTCTGGAATTAAAGGTTAGATGTTAGAGCCTCTGACCTTATACCTTTATTTGAAAGGGCATAAAGAGACCTTTTACATGACACTAATATCAGTTTTATATGTTAATAGAGCAAAAGATACGAGCACTTAAGTGATGACTACTTGACCCAAAATCTATAAATTTTTGCTCATTTCAAATTGTTACATCTCTGGAAATACTTGAAGTAGAGAGCTGCAATTTGGCATGGAATGGTGTTTCAAGAGCCCCTACAAGCTCAGCAAATATCATGGAATTCGGAGGGGGTCAGGTAAACGGCTGTGTTGAGTGACCCAATAGCATTAATAAAACCTTTGTTTTTCCCCCCTCGCGTCAACTTCACGACATTCGTATTCGTTTGTAACACTGTTCAACCTGCATTGGTATCATTTAGAACCTGGAGATCTGAATCGTGCTCTTATTAAGCTGCGGAATGAGTCATCACAGCGCAGTCCAGTTTGCATTATTTTGCACATAAATGTGCTGCATAGCGTAGCATAGTAGCTGCATAGCGTAGGTTATGGGCGAGGTTCAAAATAACGAATTCTGTCGGCTCTCGCCATGGTGGATGTTTGCAGCGGTCCACGTGCACTCTAATATATAAAGGTTTGGAACTAAAACCGTTCTTGGTTCTACAGTGAAACTTTTACAGAACCAAGCAAACACGTAATGAAAATTTTTTTTTTCTTCTTGTAATTACCGGGATCTCAGGGCTTTGACAAGGTAGGCAATCAACGCTATTATCCGGGACATTTCAAAAATCACTACGACAAGTGACTATTAAGTATAGATAATGGGAAAAAGGAAAAGTAACACAAGACATTGATTCGTATCGAACCGCATCCTTAACACTTTAGTTCAATAGCTACTGAGTGGTTCTTTTGGATCGTCATATCATATGGTTTTTGACGAGAGCTAAGAACCATTTTCTGTGGTTGCTCGAATACCGGAACAGCTTTGAATGTGTACACCCTTTTAAAGGTTTTAATCCGCACCCGTCCTTTTTCCTGTGTATTCCCGCGTAAGACGCGTCAGACGTCATCCTATCCTGAACGCTACCTATCTTTAGGAAACGCTTCAAGCGGCTGCAAATGTCCGTTATTCGACACAGACAGCAAAAAGAAGGCTGCACGCAGGGAACTTGAGGTCTAGACGACTTCCCCAACATCCATCATTGTCCCTGCAGACCAACTGTCGCCTATGCAATGCGTGAGCAGTGGTGATCTTACCTGTCCCTGGGGATGATTGGAAACCCATAAAAAATTCCTTCACGTCAAAGGTGGTTGTTGCATATCGGATATACGGCTGGAAGGCGATGGTGAGAGAAGCGAGGGAGTTGGGAAATCGTGAGGAGAGAGACCCAAGAATGGATTCCCACTCTTCCCTCAAACCTTCTGTGTCTCCAGGCTCTCCAATCGGATAGACAGGAGCATTGTCGAAGGCGATATGGAGTCTTCGACCTTCCTCCTCCTCATTCTCCAACATCTTCACCAGAAGTTTCTCAATAACTCGAGGAGAAAGAGATGAATGACGCCAGAGTTCATATTTCTCTAACAGGTCGTGAATATCCAAGACCCCAACAACGTTTTCTAGCCCTGTCCGTTTAATCCTCTCTTTCATTGCCACCAGAGAGAGGCTTTTCAAATTTTCATTCCTGTTCCATATGCTGCAGTCGACGAACATAATCCGAGCTTCGAATGCCATATCCTTGACCTTCAGAATTTTCTCGTTTTCATGTACGTACTTCCTTTTCAATCTGTTCACAAGAAATGTAGTCTTCCCAGAAAGACGCGGTCCGAAGAGAAGCTCAATTTTTTTCTCCTCCATTTCGTGATCTGGTGAAGGGAAAGAGTCTTGTTCTAAGAAAGTGTTCCATGAAATTTGCGCATGAAGAGACTTGTCGGGAGGATCCTCAGAAACATCCAAAGATGTAAGACCGGGTGTTCTGAGCGAGCAGGAAGTAATAAGTCCAAGCTGCGCAATTTCTTCCCAGTGACTGGAAGGCAGTGGATTAGTGGTGATGACATGGAGAGATCGTTGGGCCATAGCTACCACAAGAGACCAAGAGGTATAGTAGCATTGATTATCATCGAACAGGATGAGATCCTTGAATGACATCCCAGTCACCTGTTCTTCATAGAATACGAGGAATCCGGGTTCGGAATGCCCTCTGAGTCTCCCTTCTGAATCGATAAAGACGACCT